CAACTACACCTATAGTTCTCATATCATATACTATGGGCATTTATTTATACATTTCGTATCACTTGTTCTTTCTCTTCTATCACATACCACATGTATTATATATATACATGTATTCATGTAAATCATTTCATGTAATTCATATCACATATATCATATGTGCATATAATCTTATAGCTTCTTTCACCTATACATGTAGTCACATAGCTTTCTTTCATGTACCCATGCATGTCATGTCAAATAACATATATCATATGTTGCATTTTCACTTAAGCATATAAATCATATAACATCGCATTCATCTATTTCTATGTATTAATGCATATATGGTAATCACATAACAATTTAGAAGTTACTTCTTACCATAGTAACTCCATCACTGGCTCATCACAAGCCAATGTTAATTCAATAAAATAAGTACAAAATACATTGCACTCACCTTAGCTTTGCTTTGATTCGATTCTAATTCCTCAATTATCCCGAAACTGATCACTTTCTTTCTCTACATAACAATACACAGATTCATATCAATATTCCAATTGATATATTCTAAACTGTCATTTCTTAGGCTAAGGGAAAAGCCAATTTCCTCTTTTAATGAAAGTATGCATCGATGCACTACTTGTGCATCGGTGCATTAAATGCATTCGATGTTTCCTTATTAATGAGATGCATCGATGCACTCCTTATGCATCGATGCATTGATTGCATTCGATGTTATTATTTTAAAAGGATGCATCGATGCATTAGCTATGCATCGATGCATCAAAGGCATTCAATGTTCTTCTTTTAAAAGAGTGCATCGATGCACTACCAATGCATCGATGCACATTCAAACAATTTCTGGGTTTTAACCTTGATGAATCGATGCATTATGAATATGCATCGATGCACTCTGCCCAGAATCCTCTTTTTAAACCCGAAAATTCATTCATTTTGGATTAAATCCTTCATGTTTAATCCCCTTTTTCATTATTAACTCTAATACACATACTTAAACCAATCTATACTCATTTATTTCATCTTAAACCTCCAAATCCTATCCTTCATATGTAATTCAATAATTACATCGATTTTCAACATGTTTGAATTCCACTTTTAATACTTCGTATGTCTTAACTAGATTGATGACAAGTCAAATTCCTTCTCAAAATTCACTTACTACCCCTTTTCCAGAATTTCCTTTAAAAACTCATTTTCTTTAATCTTTCATAACTTCTTTATCTTTTGATTTTAGGACAACTTAAACTATCCATAAGCTTAAGTATTACCTAATGATCAAAACCCACTCTTAAAATTAACAAATAATCAGCTAACAAGGAATCTTACCTTTGCAAGCTTGACTCTTTCTTTCTCTCGTACATGAAGAAGAAGAAGAAGATGAAGAGAATATCTCTTTATCCTTATCCCCTCTAACATATTAATCCTTATCATATCTATTTTTAATTCATTTAATAGTCAAATGACCATTTTGTCCTCTACTTCATTTGATAATTACTAACAACTTTTATGATTTATTTCCAGATAAATCATTGAATTAATTCTTTCTTCTACTTTAATCACCAAATTCTAAAACTTTACAATTTAGTCACTAACCCCTAGTTTGGGATGTTACAATTTAACTTTAACTCTTATTTTAGTCAATTTTTTTAAATTTAATCACTAAAATTTCTAATTACTCATATTTTAATCACTTCGTCATTAAATGTTAACGATGTTATAACTTGACAAACAATATCAAAATGATATTATTTTGAAAAATCTTTAATTTACCTAAAATAATGTCTTTCGTATGCCTATAAATTTTTTTTTTCTTGTTATCTTTCTTTCTTTTTTCACATATGTCCAGATTTCGATCAACATTCATCGCGACTAACCACCATCAACTGTCGTCGATGACTATCTATAAGTCCAAAAAAATCGCATCAAACTCATTTCGTGCTTTTAAACAGTAAATCAATATTTGTTTAATTGTAAAATATATTAAACTCCATAAATCTAATAAAAAAACGTTATTAAGATATACTCCTATGAAAGCGGAAGACTAATTTGATGCTTTCAAAGTGTACTTTTGGGTTATATATTTAAAAAAAAAAGAGTTCACTTTAAAATCAATGGAAGACCATATTTTCAATTAAAAGTGTCTCAAGTTGTTTTTATGCAAGGTGGAAAAGACTCTCTTGCCCAAATTCAACTTCATTTACTGCAAAGATTTGATGTATTTTCAATTAATTAGACATTAAGTTCAAATTCAGAATAGTAAAAAATGTTTGGAGTGAAATTTTGAGATTTATTGATCATCAATAATGACGGTTGATCGGATTTTGAGTTAATGCATATCTTACTAAAAAATTATTAAAAATCCATGTCCACATAAAGTTAGAAATAAAATAATTTAGTGACAAAAAAAATCTAATATATAAAGTTTAATGATTTTTTTATTTTGATAACCAAAATAAGAATAGGTTAAAGTTAAGCGATGGAATCAGTAATTTATCCTTTATCTCTATATCATTTTTAACATATTTTACTTATTTTACTTGAATTTGGATTATATGTTAATATTTAAGTTATTATTTTTGTCTAAACAAATTATTAATTTCACAAGTTTTTAATAGTTTTGCAAACGTAGGTTTTGTTATTTTTCTAACCTATGTTTCTCTCAATATTTTTCTATTATCTTTCTCTTTCCTTTTGATTTTTGTTTAGTCGATGATTGTGTTAATCTTAATGTTGGTTGTCGATCGTATGTGATTTTTTTTCTTATTACGTCCTTTATTTTTTTTGAGTTTTTTTTTGAATAAAAATCTTGTTCTTATGACACATTTTTCTCTACTATCGCGGCACATATTTTCTTTGCTTTTGTGACATGATCCTTATGAATTTTGATACACTTTTCGCATACATTTGCGATCGTTTTGGTGCTCGTACAAACGATATTTATTTTATGATTGGTTTGTTGGCCGTCAAATATAGTCATATCACATCTTTAGTAAAAATTTGTTTGCCGATATAATCATAATTATATAGCGAAATAGCCTGTCATATTGTTTGGTTTGTTCACCACTCGTTTATCACTTCGTAAAACGTCTCATTCGATAGAGATAATAAGTTTTTTTTTAAGATTACTGGGTTCTTTTGATGTTAATTGTGGTTTTCAAGAAAAATTTTTATTTTTCTTCGTGTCTTTAGGTCTAATATTATTTTTATATAAGTTTTTTTACTATTGTCCCCATTTTTCTCACTATACTTGAGTAGATTATAACTTTGAATTATTCTTTTAATTTTATTAATGAAATTTAGCTACGATCGTTATTTTTTTTACAAACGTAACAATATAGACAATCATAAATCACAATACAAGTAATAGATTATTCCATCCACAAATTAAAATGTATATGAACAACTCAAAATTTATTTGTATTAAAATTAAAATTCAAATAACCTTATTAAAAAATGTTGACTTATTTTAATAAATTATACATCTCATTAAAAAAATAAATATTATTTATATGTGTATTAATAATATATTAACCTTTTAGAATATATATACAAATTTTTTAAATAAATGAATAAAATTTTCAAAAGAGAAAATTATGTAAAATTATGGACCAACATCCTCTTTTAAACATATATATATAATTAACCAAAGAGGCTATGTGAGAAGACGTGTCCATCACATGTATACTTGAAAAAGATTGATTAAGGACATCTCAATGTGTTTTAATACACAAATAATCTTCCGACTATAAGAGGTTATTTGTTGAGTTTTTCGACTATTAAAAATTATAAAATGGTTCATTAAAAATAAGACATTGCTTTATTGAGTATCAAATTATTAAAAGTTATAAAACAGTCCCCTGAATATTCATATATTATAAACTCGTCCTTTACTATTAAAAAATTGATGATCGTTTGAGTTAAATGTTTAACTACTAACTGAGATATGATAAAATTATTTTTTAATGATGTCTACTAACACCATCGTTACTTTTAAGCACCGACTCTATGACATAATATTTCAAGCACTAGTTCGACGATATAATATAAACATAGATTGATCCATAAAATATACCTCAAACGATTTTGAGATCAAATTTCATCATATTTTAGTCAACAGGTTAACGTCTAACTTAGAATACCGACAATTTTTTAATGAAAAAGGATGAGTTTGAAACATATGAATAATTGAGTAACCATTTTGTAACTTTTAATAGTTAGGAGACTTAACAAAATAATGTTCTATAATCAAGGGATCAATAAATAAATTTTAATAGCCGAGAGAGTATAATTTGGAGACTATTTAACGTACGTTACCCTTTCATTTATAACCATAAAGTATTACTGATTAAGTCCCACGGAAGGCATTTCATAATTCGGAGGTCTCTTACGGAAGCTGCTCTCAACCTGGTGTTGGGGGTAGCCTACTATCTTACCTCCCCTTACCCCATATATATGGGAAAAAGGGACAGCCAAAGTATTACTGATTAAATTTTATTTTTTAAAGTTACTTTTAGTAAGCGTCATATACAATTTATTGATAAATAATTATTATATTGATAAAATATAAATATAAATTATTGTGAAAAACTGATTATATTAGGAAATGTAGAAGGTGTTGTTTCTATATAAACAATGTAATAATTATATGATATTTATAAATTAATATATTTTATTTATTACAATTATAATATATGTCAATAACTTACATTGTCTAATTTTATTTGATTGATAAAAATATTAATTAATTATAAAAGAGTGATAAGTAATTTTTATTTTTTGATGTGGCCTAAAGTGATTGACTATCCAACATAAACCAAAATCCAAAAAAAAAAAAAATGATTATGTGTCCCTCCTTTGGAAATTGGCGCGTAGCACTCCTTCTCCCCGTAAATTAATTAATTAATAAATAAATATAATTAAAAACAAAAAACAAAATTCCTTCTTTCATGTAATGGAATTATAAATTTATCACAATCATTCTCTCTTCCTTCCATGTTCTATTTTAGTTATTTTCTTTTGACGATAGAACTTCTGTTTCGGTTTCCTATTTTCACGTTTGAGCAGAGGAGATCCTACACTTCAGTGCACGATAAAGAGAAATGGAAAGCTAGTTTTCTTTCTTTTTATTCCCAGCTTGTTATTGTCATAATTTACAGGTACGTCTCTTTCAGCTGAAAATTTATTTCACTTTCTGCTATTTTCAATCAAATTCCCTCGTGTTTTTGGGTTTTTTTTTAAAAAATTGGAGTTGTTATCTGGTGAAGAAATTAACTGGAGCTCTATCGTTTCCAATCGGAGGACGTAAGGATATTTTTGTGTGTGTGAAAAAAACCCTAATGAAATTCGAGAGTTGAATTAGGGTTTGCTTTTTTAATTTTTGGCATATTTGTTTCAAAGTTGTGATATTGGGTAAATTATTAGGAGGAAAATGGGTTATTTGCATTAGACAAAAATGACAGATTTTCAAGCTTTACAACAAAAACCTGAATCCCAACACGATGATGGAGCTGAATTCGAAAGGGGTTTGGAGGAATTAATGAGGGGGCATTTTGACGATTGTATGTCATTTGCATCATGTAGTGTTAGTAGAAGTCCTGATGAAGAGGATGATGAGGGTGATCGACTTGTTAGGAGGAGGGCGAGGTCTGATATTGAAGGTGATGACTTAGCTGAGTCATCTGCTGCAAGAAGGCGGCATTCTAGGATTTTGAGTAGGTGGGCTGCTAGGCAGGCTCAGGAAATGATAACTACAATGGAGAGGAGGAACAGGGAGTCTGAGCTGATTGATTTAGCTGGTTTACATACAGTTTCGATGCTTGACTCCTCTTTCTTGAGAGAGTCACAGTCGCCTACTTCTAGGCAACAAGGGGGTAATGTTGACAGATCCAGTACTCAGGCTTCTGCCATTTTGCAAATGTGGAGGGAGTTGGAGGATGAGCATTTGTTGAACAGGGAGCAAAGGAATGCTGATGGTAATAGGACCATGTCTAGTATTACTCTGTCCGAGAGTCATGAGAGTGAGAATCAAGGGAGTGTTGGGGATGTGACTGAGTGTGAGAATGAGTCTGGAACTTGGTCGAATGATCAGGGTGTGTCACAGAATGATCATGGGAATGACAATGGGTCTAGTAGGGAGCAGTCTCCTGATCTTGGGGAAGTTGAGAGAGAGAGGGTGAGACTAATTGTTCGGGGATGGATGGAGAGTGAGATTAATGATCATTCATCAAGTGTTACCCAAAGGACTGGCAGTCCCAGAGCTGAATGGCTTGGTGAAACAGAGCGTGAGAGAGTTAGAATTGTCCGGGAGTGGGTTCAAATGACAAGTCAACAGCGAGGAGTTCGTGGGGGACAGAGAGAAGATCAGGAAGATACAATTGGTGCACAAGTAGACCATATTCCTCATAGCTCTTCTACTGACCAAGATGAAGGTCAACCAGAGCATATTCGTAGGGACTTGAGGAGGTTGCGTGGAAGACAAGCTGTAATTGACTTGCTCGTGAGGAATGAAAGAGAGCGACAAAGGGAACTTCAGGGTTTGCTAGAGCACCGTGCTGTGTCTGATTTTGCTCATCGTAACCGCATTCAGGTCAGTTAGCTATCATGTAGCGTTCATTTATGCTTTTTCTTGATTTTTGCATTTCTTAAATTTGTTCATGATAAATGTTTTACAAGTTCTCCACCCCATTGATGGGTGTTAGTTCCATGCTTTGAGTCAAGGTTTTGAATTTTGAGTCCAACATATATTGTAGTTTCATGTGGGATTAACCTGTTTCAATAATAAGGTACTAAGGATGTTCTATTTTAAGTCAAGAGTCACTTTACTAGGAACTTTATGGAAACTAAGCATGTTTGATTGATTCAACACTTAGTTTGACTTAATTTCTAGTTCAGTTGCTCAAGAAGTTTGATCAATTTACTTACTAGGATCTGTGTAAATTGATTTGTTTTTCTTATAAGGTTTATGGTTCTCCCGTCACCGACTTACTTATTAACCTATAAATAAATAATTACAAATGGAGAACACTGTCAAACAGAGAAAGCATGACTCTAGCTTTCATCCCCGAATAAAAAATATTCAATATTAGTATCAGGCTCTGTTCTGCACTTTTATGCAATGCTAAGAAGCTTGAATCTCTTTAATATTGGTTAGATCCATTTGAGTGGTGTTCAATAGTTAACTGATCTTCTTATCAAAAAAAAAAAAAAATAGTTAACTGATCTTGTGTCATCATGCATCATATTGGTTTTTTTTATATTTTTAATCACTGCTCAAGAATTTCAATGATGATCTTGGTTGACTTTTGTTCTTTTTTTCTTTTAGTAAATCCTTCATAAATATGTTTTTGTTACCTAATCTTTTTATCATTCAACCCCCTTCTTTCATATATTCATGCTAGGCTGGAAACTAGAGGAGTTTTCTTTTTAGAAGAATAATACTTTCTATATCAGGTTAAGACTGAAAGTTACATCATTCTTATGTTTTTAGAAAACGTTTCAATTTTTTAGTAAAATATGTAATAAAGATATGCTGATGATGGAATTAGCTTTATACATAACTCCTGGACTATTGTATGATCAGGTGTCTTGAACTTTGGTGTTTTTTTTATAAGAAGAGGAGGCCTCGTTAAAAACCCCCTTCATGATTAATGGAGCGCCAAAAGGTTATCCTTAATCAGCGGAAGGAGGAAAAGAGTGCCTCAGAATTCATTAATAACAGATTAAAACATAATGTTTAAAAACAGCCAAGATCACCCCCCTACAATGAACAACCCGAAAAACAAAAAGATAAACTACCCAAACATAAATATCCAAACAATTAGTCAATTAAGACAACGGCACACTGTATCTGGTTTGAGGTAGGAATGTTTTTTCTTTCATGCTTACATTATGGATTTTTTCTGAGAAATTTTCACTATTATTTCTAAACTTCTTGGTGATAGTTTTAAAATGGTTGATGTTTGTTAAACAGTGATGTTGCAAGCCGAGGAATTTTGGCATATGATGTATAGAACAAGCTACATTGCATTAAGGATTTACGATCTAATTACTTCCTGTTGATGTACTATGCAGTTACAACTTACACCCCGTGTTATAATGTTTTGTTTATTTTTTTACTCTGGTTATTTGTTAATATTTAACCTTCTCCTGTCCATGGAGAATGGGAACAAGTTAGCTTGATTTTTCTTTTACTTTTAGCTCCTTTTTCTAAAAAAACATAAAAGTTTATCTTGCCTGTTAAACAATGAGAAATCTGTGGCACGTGTGTGTGTGTGTTTGTTTAAAAATAAGACACATGTTACAAGTGCAGAGTCCATCTAGTGGCATCTAGATTATAGATTGAAAAGTCCTCTGCAATGCCCTTTTCAGCTCTTTCAAGTTTTCCATTGATTTCCATAAAAGCCAATTCTTTTTCTCATTCAGGGAAGGGTTCCGCAACAGATTAGAAACAATTGTACGTGGTCAAGCAAGCGCCAGTTCTGAAACCACATCTAGCAACGTCATCAGTTATGTTAGAAATGAACTTCCCCAAACAAACACGTTACAAAATGTCCAACATGAGAACATTGAGGATACACAACCTAGGAGTTTGAGAAGTCACATTGGACAGTTGCCTAATCAAACAGAAAGTATGGTTAACAATGTGCTAGTTGTTGAAAGCATAAGTTGGCAAGAAAATGCTAACCAAGGTGGGAATTGGCGGGAACCAACAACCAATGATGAGGGAGGAAACTGGCCACAGCCGACCTATGCTCAGTTCAATGAATGGAGGGAGGGAAATGCAGAAGAAATGGATACAAATTGGCAAGAAAGTTCAGTCAGCGAGTATCACCAAGAAATTCCTGAAAATTTAAACGGAGGAAGTGATTCTCAGGAACCCCATAGAGTTTGGCATGAGGATGGCTCACAGGAAGCTGTTGAAAATTGGTCAGAAGGGACTTCTGATCCTCCAAGAGCACGCCGTGCATCCCCAGTTAGAAGGTTCAACAGATTTCATCCGCCTGAAGATGACAATGTGTACAGTATGGAACTTAGAGAACTTCTGAGCAGGTATTTGATCACATAGTTGATCTTTACACTTCTATGTGAAATGACTTTGATTGATGTATTTTATTTTGTAGAAGGAGTGTCTCTAATCTTCTTCGAAGTGGTTTCCGGGAAAGTCTAGACCAATTAATACAGTCTTATGTGGAAAGACAAGGTCATTCTCCCATTGATTGGGATCTGCGTAGAAACTTGCCAACACCAGCTTCACCACAGCATCATCAAGAGCAGCAGAGAGATGAAACAAATGATCATCAGAATGATGCTATCAACAGGCCTTCACTCATGTTACCATCTCCTCCAGTGCCTCCACCACAGCCGTTGTGGCATCAGGATTTGCATCACACTAGCTGGTCAAGGCACAGCATGCATAGATCAGACCTTGTGAGCCTTCTATCTTAGTCTTGCAGCTGCATGCATATTTTGCTCCAACTTTTCATTTTTCTGTAAGTATCTGTGTCTGACAACCATGTCCAACACATTTTCAAACATGGATTATGGATATAGGGATAAGACCCTTCAAGGGCTCTTAAGATACCTGGAAAAACTTAGAGAAAATGAGGATACTTTTTTCTGGACACATCCATGTCTATTACTCACACCCGAGTTCAAGTAACATTGTTGCATATTACCGTAACTACTGAATCTTAATTTTGCTGTTCTCTTCATTATACAACATTGATGTTAGATTTAAGTTCACTTGGAAATTGGAATGATTTTTACATATAAACCTGAGCTTTTGGATTTCTGATTGAGTTTCGTACTGAAGGTAAATTATTTGCGGAATTATCCCTTTGGAGAGACATTTTATTGGATAAGTATTTGATTGAATTATGCGTCAGGGATTTTATCTTCCTCCTTAACTTTCTTTGTTCACTTCTGTTTTCCTATCCAATTTGAAATTATAGTGATAATAATCAGTCTTATAGACAACTCTTTCTGTGACTGCTGGGTTTAATTTGCTTTTTGTTGCTTGACTCTTGGTTTTTCTTGAAGTAGGATATGTCTATAGGAATATGACCCTCCAAAGGCCCTCATAATACATGGAAAACCTTAGAAAAATTGAATATACCCAAGTCGACACATACTTATACCAACCCTTGCACTTGAGTTAAAGTAACATTGATTTGCTGCTACTTGTGTACCATTATAGGTTGCCAATTGTCCCTAGTTGAATAGAGAAGATGTTGAATATTCTCCGGAAATAGGCCCGGATATCTTATTTGAAGTCCCTGCCAATACTTTTTGTTACTCTGCATCTTTTCAGTTATTTTATGAGACTGCTTATTGTTTGCAGGAATGGGAGATGATTAATGATCTAAGAGCTGATATGGGCAGACTCCAGCAGGGCATGAGCCACATGCAGAAGATGTTGGAAGCCTGCATGGATATGCAGTTGGAATTGCAGCGATCCGTCAGACAAGAAGTCTCTGCGGCTTTGAATCGTTCAGCTGGTGAAAAAGGTTCATAAATCCTTCCAACATTTCTTACGTGGAAAGCATTGTTTCGTATTTTTTGTGGTCGTTTTGATTGTTTCTGTTTTTAATTCGTCTTGCATTTCAGGTTTGAGTGCAGAAACACCAGACGATGGTTCAAATTGGGGTCATGTGAGGAAAGGGACTTGTTGTGTTTGTTGTGATAGCCATATCGATTCACTTTTGTACAGGTTTTACCTTCTGAACTTTTCTAAATTCTTTCCATGATCAAATATCATCTATGAAGCCATAATTCGAAACTCCATTGATGCTTTAATTACACATTGCAATCGCCTTTTTTCACATTAAAGAACTGGTTGCAGATGCGGACACATGTGCACTTGTTCAAAATGCGCAAATGAGTTGGTTCGTGGCGGAGGAAAATGCCCTTTGTGTCGAGCACCTATTGTCGAGGTAATCCGTGCATATTCAATAATGTAAAGAGATGAAATAACAAAATAGGAATTGAACAGTGTGTGTTAAAGGTCCAAAAAGAGCCATTGCCAGATAAAAAAGGCCCCAATTTGCAGAATGTTAAGTTGTTGCTGGTGTTTTTCTGATTATTTAGAACACTACACAGTGTATAATTGGAACAGCAGTTGGCATTATTGATTCATCATTCATGCATAAATAAAATATCGTCCATCAATTCTTTTCTTTCCATTTTATGTTACTCGGATTATTTGGTTCTCTACTTCATTTTTGCAAATTAAGCAGATATCCAAAACTGCCTTATTTTTGTTGCAGATATCCATTTTAACTCTGAATTTTGTTTATATTTTATTTGTATATATAAATGTTTAATTCAAATATTTTTATTTTTTTATTTTTCAAAATTATACAATTTTTTAATATTTAATTATTATATTTTTAATTAAAATTTTAAATATCGACAACTTGATATATTTTTAATATTAATATAAATATATTTAATCTTTATAATTTAAATTACATAATATATATTTTAAGAGATTTTAGAAGGAAAAAAAAACCCAAGTAAATCTTTAAAAGAAATTCATATGGCATTGAACCTTGTTAACGATTCACGTTATTGATTAATTTTAAACTTTAAGTACGTTGATGTAGCAAACAAGTCTCTTATATGATGACATGGGAGGCAATCACTCGTCCATAATTATTATATTACTTAAATTCTTATATTGTGAATAATATATATTCAAGTGCAATTGAATTCACATTATCTTAAATAATATAATAGTATTCATATTAATTGAATCAAAACTTATTTGAACATTTAATTTTATATAAATGACTTTTTTAATCTCTTAATGATTGATTTAATTATTCAAACCCTACTAAAATACTAACATTAACTATTTTATTATTCTCTGTCACATTATCAAAATTTCAATATATATATAGTTAATATCAACATCTCAATAATAATAAAGTGATTAATTATTTAAATTATTTAACTAAGCAATAAAACATAAAATAATTAACATTAATTTAGAGACATCATTATTATTTCATCATATTTAAATCAATTTGACAAAATAATAACCACCGATAAATTTGAGGAACAAAAAGATCATAAGATTAGGCAAAATGAAGATATAATATGCAAGTTTTCTATTTTCTTACATTTACTTTAGAATGGAAATTCAATCTCTTAAATTACCAACTATACAGATGATTAAAAGCCTTTTCTTGTGCTCTTGATTCATGATGAAATGAGATCCCGGCATAAAACAAACCACCAAAATTCCAGCTTGGTTTAAAATGGAAATTAAATTACTCAAACCGTTTGATAAAACCAATAAACTCAATTAATTAAGAAAAAACACCCATTAATTCTCATGCTCAAAACTTCAACCTCAAATATTTATCCTCAGACTCGAATACGAGCTGAGAGTCTTCACTACTTATTATCAAATCCCAGGCTTCGTCTGGCAAACCACCCCACCTATTAATCGCATCTAACTCAATAACTTGAATTATTCGAGCTTAAACTAAAATTCAAATGTTTTTCGAACCGAACCCCAGTAATTCCTGGGTACGAACCCCTACATGAGATCAATTTTAGAACATAATTTCAGGATGGCAAATAATTTCTTCAAGGATCCGATTATAAAATTTTCGTTTAAAAAGCAATCAATGAAATAAACAAATAGTAATGCCTGGGTACGAACTAAACTACATCTGACAAAAATTGCCTATGAAAGATCCAAAAGTTGGTAAAAAAGAAAAGAGACGCATCGATGAATTGAATGTTCTTGTATGGTGAAAAGGAATTACCATAATCGTCACCCTCTTAACCAGAACCCGGAACTTGAATCCTCTATGCCTCAGGAGATAACCCTCTTAGCACCAGGAAGCTATTTTTGTTTCCTCTCTGCTTCTTGAAAGCAATTTACTTGATAAAAAGGAATCAGAAGAATAAACTGTCTCCAACAATGCTGTTAGATTTAACTCCCCTCTCATCTGAGATACTTTTTTCGGCTTCCTGGTTTGAGAAGGAAAACGGGTTCAGTATCTGTGTTAGGAGTCCGGTGATTCTATGTTAGACTTTGAATATGGTCATCTGAATTAGCTTCTACGTATCCTATAATCCAAGTGGTCTTTGCCTATACCCATTCCTCATCCTTTCCAGTAGTTTCTCTTTAGTTTTCCTCTTTTTCTCCATCTTCAACCGGTATCTTTCTTCCCTCTCCCTCTCGTAAATTCCTTGCCAATGTACTTCTCCCGTCAACGGCCACAACCACATCTTCCTTGGATTGTCATCATCGTCTGCAGCCTCAGCTAGATCTTCATCCATGGTCTTTAATAATGTGAAATTAAAATATCTAACCCACATAAATTCTTTCCGTTGTTCAACTGGATGTTGCTCTTCGAGCAAACCAGAGCGGGGCTCAATGTAGACCATCCTCCGCCCACTATGGTAAGCCCAAACATTGACCAAGTGTTCCAATACCCGACAGTAACATTGTTTTTTCTGCCCATTATTAAATAAACCAAGAAGAGCATCGTTAGATTAGACTCTCAATGAAACCTACAAATATTATAGGAACAAGGATTTGAACAGTGGTCCTGGATTCTTGGTGCAGTCATGTTTATCATAGTTACGGGCATAATGAATTTGTTGACCGTGAATATCAGTGGCAAAGAGAGCCGAAAATGTAGAGTTATGGCCATAACATCATGTTGTGGCTTCTATTTAAATCACTTATAGGAACAAAAGAGCTTACCTCAAGATACGTCGAACCAAGCAAGCACATATTGGGCTCACTAGAATTGGAATGCAAGGCATCAAGAGAATCAACAAACATCCTGCAGTTGAATTTATACAAGTTTTCAGTCATCATCAACTGTACTGTTCTCTGCAAGGATTTTGCAAGAGGATATAAGATGCAATACAATGAGTAGAAAACTCGTAAATTACCGTGAAAACATAATGAACTCCAAAAAGGACTTGGTTGGCATCACCCAGCTATGCAAGGAAGACCAGTGACCTTCGTCTTGGGGCATGGGAGGAAGAGCTTTCATATCTGATGGTATGTTATACATCTTGCGGAAGGCATTTTCAAAAGCAGTTCTACAGGCATTTAAAGCATTGAAGCTACTCATATAGTTTTCATATTATAATAAAAGTCATCTAAAATGCACGTAAATCTATTACAAGTTAAATCACAAAGCAGCAGTTGCATGTTGAGGTAACTCAGCCACTAACCTATGTGGACCTCATCCCCTCATCGAAAGTTTGGGGTTTCCATCTATGAATTATATGGACTTAAGTACTCCCATTTTATTAGCCAACTTTGGGAGTGTGGTTCGCCTAAGGTATCAGAGGTATCCACCTTATCCCTCAAATGCAATCATGCAGCCCACAAGGTGACAATAGAATAACAGTGCCCGCCTTGGGTTAGAATAAGCAGCACAAAGCCATAGCCCATGTAGGCAGCAGGACTGCGGAGCATGCCTGGATTTTTATGATCCTAATTGCATGGTCTGAGACTTGAATCCCTTCCTTGTGAGGTTTATTTGGAACTAAGCTCTCACATCCTAAAAATTAGCTTTTGGGGTGCGGTTCTCCTAAAAAGCTTATATCAATGGTCACCTCCAAGCCCATGAAACCTGACCGCCAGGTTCATAAGCAACAACTGTTGAGATTTGAATAAAACAGGCATGAAGTCCAGCCAATGATCACTGTGTATCTTTTCACTCACTGAAACTGATCTTGGCCCATTTTCAGGGAAAGAAAAACTGAACCCTAATCATGACCCCACCTATTTTGATTTTGGAAAAACAGCTTTTACGGCGAAAACTATAAAATGATGTTTTGCTTGGTGCCATATGTATAAGAATAATCAAAACGGTATCATGATGGCTGCAGCAGAGAGAATTTGGAAAAACTTTATGAGAAGTGCATCTTAACAGAGAAGAAATTAGGGGGAAAGCAACTTAACATAGAAGAGATAACCTCTATGATAGGGGCAGTGAAATAAAATAGAAGCAAGACCACTGGAATGGAAAGCAAATAAACTGAAATATTAATGATGGTCATTCTTCCACAGCTCTGGATTTCCTCCTTGAATATACATGTAAGGGAGGAGTTGTATCACTCTAATATCGACAACATGAAAAGATGGCAAGCAAAAGACCCTCACTCAACTTGTAAATTAAAGTGCAAATTCTGGCATCAGCAAGGTGTTACAGTGAATCTGTCCATCTATTATGCTTAACAATCATATATCCAACTGATATTAGGTGAAACAAACCTGCAGTGTCCAGAATTTAATATATCACACATCGACCAAAATGTAAGTGCATCACTGTTTCCTTCACCTCCACCATCAACATCAAGGCGCACCCAAAAGTACATTACATCTCCCTTACTTCTTTGTATAGTTTCTTCCAAAACTTTTTCAGCTTTTGTGGACAATGAAACCTATTTCAAGAAAAAGACTGTGAAGTCAATAATTGTATACTCTAAAAACTGATACTCATACACTTGAAGCAATAGGTACCAGAACGGAAGCAAAAATGGATCTCTTTAGTTTTAGGATCTTTTTCAAAAAAATTTCCCTTTGAACAGACTATGATGGTTTAAAGGTAATCGGTGGAATGGAAAGATGATAGCATACGAGAGTAAACCACTATTCGCTAAGTTATTTGGGAGTAGATGAGAGTAAAGTAAGGGAATTTTAAGCCATTATCATTTCAACTTAAGATAATTATTTCAATAAATATTGAGGGGTAAAATGGAAATCATTAAGCAGAATAATGTCCTCTAAAATCCTCCAGACTAGGGGGAATTAGAAAATGAGATCAATGGAGATTGGTTCACATTCCAACCTCCACTATTCGCTAAGTTTTTGGGAGTAGATGAGAGTAAAGTAAGGGAATTTTAAGCCATTATCATTTCAACTTAAGATAATTATTTCAATAAATATTGAGGGGTAAAATGGAAATCATTAAGCAGAATAATGTCCTCTAAAATCCTCCAGACTAGGGGGAATTAGAAAATGAGATCAATGGAGATTGGTTCACATTCCAACCTTCCGACAATACCCCGCATTACCTCTACCCTAAAACACACACACAAACTCACATCTAAAAAGGATAGAATTACCATTAATTCTCTTCGTCATGGTCTGTTCAAAAACCCCCACCCAAAAACAAAAAGAGTAAGAAAAGTGGACTGGTTCATAAAACTCCAGCTCATATTTTTTTTTGATAAAAATTGGAGGTCTCATTAAAAACTCCTTTCGTATTCGTCCACATACTAACAAGTATGTTAAAAAACATTGGAATGAAGAAAAGAGTACCTCATATTTCATTAAATAAAACACCCAGCACATTTGAAAACACGGAATACCCTCATGCAGGGATAGACACCATTAACTCCAGCTCATATTCAACACATCGAACGCAATATTAAACATCAATATAAGGAATACCTTCCTACCAGCAGCATGCCATGATTGAAAACCAATCCAAGGTCTCTTGTGAATGCTATCCACCCTATTTGCAATAGAGAACATTCCTCCAACTTCACATAATATATCCCTGTAGTAAGTGTCATTCAAAAGCGGAAGTCGGCCAACTGCATCCACATCATCTGATATCAACCTCCTTGTTCTTCTAGACTGGCATATAAAATGAATAGTTACAAAATGTAGAAAGTATTTCACATCATTTTTCAGTAGGCAGACAAAATAAAAAGGAAAGTTCCTCTAATAAAAGGAGAGAGGAGAAAAAGGAGCAGTAATGCTAATACATGAAATCAGCTATGCCTAAAAAGGTAGCCTACATTAAGGAAGAAGGATGGAGGTGAGGTTAGCAATGATGGTGGGTAAGTTAATATCCGTACAAAAAGTTCCCTCACATAGTAAAGTTGCAAGAAGACTAAAGTTACCCGATAATTACATAAAAGATCAAAGCATTTTCATCAAGAACCATATGAATATATTATTTATACAAAACATTTCTGCAGAGTGATTTCTCTTCATCAAATCACATCCAGCAGTTAAATAATAATTTCTCAATAAGAGGAACACTTATGAGAAGGTGATGAAGCATAAGAAATGTTAACTAAAAGATGAAATGTCAAATATGGATCAGGAGAAACTCACAAGACTTAGCCCACGGTACAACGATCCATGGTGCAAGAATGGCCAGGCCCCAGCTCCACTATAGATCTCATAAATGCATACATGTTGACCTGTCCTTTCTAGCTCTCCCTCATCTCTTTCGTTTGCTTCAAACCTCAGTTTTTCAGATTTCCGAGCATTTCGATATATCTCGTCCCACACACCAAGATCTCTCTCTGTTCTTTCATTAATCTATAGATTTAAGGGGAAAAGAAATATTTTTCACGTCACAATTATTCATGAGAATGTTTAGTAATGTTAGGGGAAAAGGCAGGGTGGGGAGAGTGCAAAACAAGGGGCTGTAATAGTTAAGTATATTATACCTCCTCCATTTCAACTCTTTCGTAATCTTCCAAATTCTCTATTTCCGTCACGAGATCCAGGTCTTGTTCAGTAAGGGCATCCTGATCCTGAATCTCAGCCCTATTCTTAGACTTGTCAATAATGTTTTTGGTGAATTCCTCCTCAAGGGCATGAACAACACTAGAATCTATGGAAATATCAATATTGCTGTGTTCTATTTCCTTCCTGAAAAGGTTCCACTCCCAGGATCCCTGCTTAAGTTCAGAAACAGAACCTGGCAGCAAAACATCTGATGGGAAATAAAGTAAATTCACCAGAAGGCTTGCATAACCAGTTATGCATTCCGATGCCAGAATGTTTTTAGCAAGCAGTCTTCCAGAAGAAGCAACAGTTTCAGCAAATCTAGAAAGTCTTCCATTCGATATCAGAAGTGAGAAAGTCCTCAATAGAGCATCAGGGTTATGTTTTTCGAAAAAAGCGCAATGCGTTCCATCAGCCACCTGCAATAAAAAAAGCAGCTTAAAATGTAATATGAATTGAAAGTCCCTCCATCTCTCTCTCTCTCTCACACACACACACAAACAAATCAGGAAGTAGGAACTAAGAGGAAAAAATTTAAATGGACCTACATATTTTTTTAAAATTGGAAAATTAGGTGCAATGACTGGGATTCCAAATGCCATGGCTCGGATAATTAATGGAGGGAAACCCTGTTCTTCTTGTGAGGAACCGTATAGAACAATATCAGCCATTAATAAAACTCCATTGGCATCACCATCCAAGCCATAATGCCTAACAGAGTCTTGAGTAAGTCCTAACCGTGATGCAACTTGCTGCACAGAAGCACAAGGTATGACATCAATATTGAACATAGTACTGAGGCAGCAAACTAGCCTCAATGAAGTGTGCTGAATACACATCATATATATAGAATAGAGGACAAAAGGAAAATTACATGACAGCTTCTTATGATATTCTGTCCAGACTCCAGATTTAGCAATCTTATTAATATTTCTAAACCTCTATCCTTCTAACAGTATATAAAAAATTGAAAGAGAAAAAAAGTTGGCCATACTAAAATTTGTAAAAGTGCGAGTCAAAAAGTGTAAAAGTATGAAAGACAAATTACAACTGAATGACTTAAGTTAGATATCCAAACTAAATAGCAAAATCTGGTATTCTCCTTTATTCCATGCAAAATCTGGTATCACTTTAATCGCACAAGTTTAGGCAATAAAGATTTCTTTCAATTCAAAATGGGAGCATCAATATGCACAACGGAAAGGTATAAAGAACTTGTGAATATATAATATTATATATACGATGCACATATCAATAGTTGGCTACCTGTAAAGCACCATTATATCCATCAGTAGAGTTACCACTCAAGAAAATAAATTTAAATGGCCCTTTCTCCTAGCCGTATCTTGGAGAGGTCCGATTTTTATTGCAACAGCATAGTCCCAGATCATCATAGAAGAAGAAAAACAACTAGAAACCAATATCATAAAAACCCATTGTCTTTTCTTAACTGATGCTTTGCATGGGTCTTACAGTAACTTTCAGCACCCCACACATCAACTGGCGATCCAGGAATTACATGGAAATTTCCAGTGTCTACCAAGCTATATAACATCTGATACGAGAAGGAATAGAAATTGAGAAACCACATAAATGCCTGCTAGAATGCCATAAAAAAAGTCTGTGGAGGCAGAATATCAGATTTACCGGTAGTGTAAAATCAGGGAACAGAATAACATTGGCCCTGGTAAAAGTAGTTTTCCAATTAGAAAAAAGATGCTCCAACCCCATCTCCTTATAGACAGGAAGTCGTTTTGCCAGAGTATCTTCTTGAATTATCCATATAAGTGGTACTGTATCAAAAGGCTCCTGCATAAGGCTGCATGCAGATATAGCTCACTAATGCATCTCAAACTAAAACATTAGAGGTGTCTGTAGTGTTCAGAAAGTTTCTGCATTCGTTAGATATAGTAAGCTAGATATAAAAATATACCTTGATATGGCCTCTTTTGCTTCAAGAGAATCAGCAATAACACCTTCAAACCTGTAGAAAATGCAATAAAACATATAAAATCAATGCCAAGTAAACAAAAAAAATTAGTAATCACAACAAACTGCAAATCCAGATAAAAACCAATACAAACACAATTGAGAGAAAAACAAAGCCGAAAGTGAATTCAAAATACAGGAATTAGATAACATACAGAGACCAATCAATATGAGAAAATTGATCTGGACCTAAAACTGAAAATTTAGCACTTAGGTTCTCCCATATTGCCCGTGCTTCGCCACTTCCTATTGCATAAATCTGTCAATTTGACATTGTAAGGATCCATAACATCTTCTGAAATAATCAGTAGGGAAACATAAAACTTTCATGCCTAAGCTGTTAGAAAGCAGAAATGTGTGTACATACTACTAAAACTTCCATCGTACAACGGAAGTTAGAGAAGATGTGTGTATCATAAAATCAGTTGCATGAGCATATTCGAAAAATAGCAGCACTAATGGAAATATTTTTTTAAATAAATTCACCTCAAATACATAGCCAAGCCTCTGAAGACTCTTTACCACAGTCACCAGCATCAACGATTGTGGGTTTTTCTTCATGTTCCCCAAAATCTGTCAATTATGAAAGATGCACAATGTAAATGCAAAACTCAAACCACTCGAAATAGAGAAATAACATAAAGAAGCTGTGTATTTTATACAATGTGTGGGCTGAATGATGCTAAATGACTTAAACCAATGTTGTGTCAAGGACTTAAGGCGCGCTGTAGACGCTAGAACTCTCATATTTCCTTGGGCACAAGGCAGAAGTAAAAAAATGCTCGCATAAGTCATATAAAGCACAATATGTCAATATGTATACATAATAAGCTTAAGATATATGGTTATGAATTTTTTTTATAAGAATTTCAGGCCTCATTAAAAACCCGCTTCTTGATTAATGGATCTTTTAGGAAAGCTCCTTAATCAGCGGAAGGTGGAAAAGAGTGCCTTAGGATTTTATTAATCAAAGACAAAGTACATAAAATACAGCCATAAGACAAACTAACAAAACCTAAAAAATTATAGAACGTAGAAAGCAAACCCCAATGCGACCAGACCTCCCTTAAACAACACCAAAACTGACTCAGCCCCAACAACCTCAATAGACCACCAACCTACTGAAAAACCTCTAAGGCAACCTTCATCATCATCCAATCCCTGTTTAGCTAAAGTATCAGCCTCACAATTGCAGCTCCTCGGGATATGTCTAATAATAATCTCCCTCTCCAAGATTAGGGAAGCAATTTTCTGAACCAACGAACTAAAAAAAACGGAGATGATGTCGGCAGCAAAATCCAATCCACTACTGATTTACAATCACTCTCTATAATTAACCTTCCCTTCCTCGCCCAATCCGACGAGAGAAAAAAGTCAATGCCTTTCTCAATGGCTTTCAGCTCAGCAAGTGCTATATATGGTTATGATAATAAACTCTAAAAGTGTGGTCTGGTTTATCTGCAAAACACGCAATTTTTTGGTTCGCCAATTTGCATGATTTCTTCATGGTTCCATGTTTTCCGTTTAATACTCAAATATTGGTAGAGTTCAATACTATCCTCCATACTAGTAAAGGTACATCTAATGGAAAAGGTGAAAAAATTATAAATTAAAGAGAACTTCAATTAAATGGGCGTTTCTATGTCCATCGCCTACAAAAAAGTGTGTGTAGGCACAAAAGGCGTGTGTTTGATCAAATACAGATCCAAGGTGCCTTTTTTTTTATTAATGCTAAGGCAAAGGAGTAGGCATGGCTAGATGCATGCCTTCACAACACTGCTTAAAACATCTCCATTCTAACCAATCAATTGATAGGCATATAATATCAGTATAACTTTCAACATCTTTTCATTCAAATACTTAAGTTTCCATGAAATAGAAGATTCTCTTTGAAGGTATGGTCTACTGAAGAATCAAAACTTTGGCAATATTCTCGTAACTGCTTTCTAACAAATCAGTCAAGTAAAACCGGTTTATCTTTACTGGCCTTCCTTTGCAGGAAGGAGCAAACAGTCAGGAACTTATATTTTCTTAAAATTATCACCTCTACGAAAATCAGTGTTGTCAAGTCGTGCACCAGCACCTTACGCACTAGACAACAAAAGCACCTCAAACCCTTTGAGGCGAGGCCTATTTGCTCAGGCAAGCGTTAGGCAACAGAAAGAAAAATAAATAAGAACTTTTGTAAAGCGATAAGAATAAAAAATAATCTACCTTCTTGATATACATGAACCCGGAAATTGGATCTTACCTTGAGTTTCTAAGAGGGATGTCCCAGATCTTATACTAAAGAAGATTCCTTTTATCTTTTTCATTTTTCTATGGATATTACCTTCTCTCTAAAAATTAGGCGTTTTCAAAAAATTTATTTCTTTATCCTTTGCATATCTCTTAGATGGCGAGTCAGGTGTGAAGATCTGTTGGGAAAAATTGCATTACAGTGATCATTTTCAATATTTCAAAGTGTCTTCATCACCAAGGTCTCTGGTTATTATTCGATAAATATGGCGAGGTGGTTGATTCTTTCATCCCTAAAAAAAAGCAAGGGAGGAAGTAGGTTTGGCTTTGTTCGCTTCACCAGATTGAAGGACGCGAGGAAGGCTATCAACTGTGTTGATAGATCTTGGATTCAAGGTATTAAAGTTAGATTTCATGGCGAGATTTCAACCTCGTGAAGAATTCTAGAGAAAGAAGTTTTCGGGTCCAAAACCAGCTGAGGTTAAGAGTAAAGTGGAGGATGATTCTCACTCAGAGGATCCCATTGTCGGTGTTGTTGACGAGGAGAAGCTCTTAACTCTCAGAAATAGCTTGGTAGGTTGGTGCAGAATTTTTTTCAAAATGAAAGAGTTGGATGCTCTTATGCACAAGGAAGGCATATTAGGTTCGAAAATTATGAGGTTAAGTGGTTTAGCAATTTTAATCATTTTTGAAGATGAAGAGAGTAGGGATTATGCTCTTAATAATCAGATTGGGGCGTTGAAAAATTGTTTTGACAAAGTAGAAGTGTGGTCGGAAAATTTTCAGTGCAGCAGCCGTCGGGCATGGCTATCGTGCAAAGGGATCCCACTGTTTGTGTGGAGTCATTCCACCTTCATAAACATTGCAAACAAATGGGGAGAACTCATCTCCATTGAGGAAGGGACCTTAAATCCTGGCTCGTTTGATAGGGCATTGTTTCAGATAACTACGAACTGCCAAGCTCGAGTGGAAGATTACTTAGATTTGAAAGTTGGGGACCGGATCTATACATTATATGTTTTTGAGTTTGAACCTTGTTTCAGCCCAGAATCTGTCTGGGTAGATTCGTCCTTGATGGAAAAGGCGGTTGCCTACCCGTTATCCACGGTGGGGGAACTTGTTGGTGACTCGCTAGTTAAGCCTTCCGAGATGGAGGATTGTGCTGAGGAAGCAGGAAGAAGCGTGAACTCATCGGAGGAGAAGATATCCGAGCGGTGTTCTGAGGAAGAAGATAGTTTATTATGTTGTATGGGGAACAGGACTAGGGGCAGCAACTTGTCGGGTGAGGATGAGGAGGAAAGGAACATAGAGGAGGAATTAATTATGGGACTGAGGAATATTGTTGCTGATCAGGGGATGATACAAACGAAATTGAGGAAGTAGTGGAACACGAGGAAGTGCTGGACCACGCGGAGAGAGAGATAGAAAATGACAAAAGGAAAAGTTGTGAGACTGCACATGCTTATGAGGGAATGAAGGATTATTTAATAGATTTCCCCATGTTGGATGGTCGGGTAGAGTCAAAGGTGGGGGAGGATGTGATTAATGTGAGCCTTTCAAATAATTGTGCATTCCAAAGATCCAAGGGTGAGGCCAGGCAGAAACGGAGAGCAAAGGAGGCGAGAAACAATAATTACAGCTCTCTCCAAATATTTCAAGATAATTATTCGGCTCCCCAATGGACATCTAGAGACTGTCGCAGTAGGATTAATCAGAGTAAGGTGCAACGAGAGGAAGATTTGTCTGAACTTGAAGGCTCACGAGTGTTTCTGATTTCGGAACATTATATCTGTGGAAGGATTGAAAGATACAATATGTAGTGAATAGTTTTCGGGGACTCGAATATGATTTTTGAGTTTGGAGTTGGAGGTTCGGATGGTCTCCGATGTCAAGTCGAGTAATTAGTAGCTGATTGGCAGATAGAGTTTTTTCGAAGTTTTTTTGAAGTTTGTTTTGATCATCTATTATCGTGTGTAAGCTCATGGCTGTAGTGTTTGAATTTGGCTTATATGGTTTGTGTCAGCTGATATATTTGGCTTCTATTATAGTTGTATTGTGTTGTATTTCGGGCCAAATTTTGGCTTTATGTTTGGTGAGTCATTTAGAGCTGTTGGAAGATGTGTATTTGGCAGCAAGGTATGGGCAGGGAATGGGATTGCTCGGTGGGGGATGGGCAACAGCCCCGATTTGTGTGTTCGTGGAGCAGCAGGGCATGGGTGATGGGGAATCGAGCTGCACGTGGGATGTAGGGCTGCTGGGCGTTGTGTGTTGGGGCGCAGCAATATGGTATGGGCATCAACCACCTTCACGTGGGTGGCATGAGCACTAGCATGGGCAAGATTAAAAATGTTCACTGGGTGTTGTTGGGTGTGTTTCGGGTTATTGTAAGGGGATTGTTTGTTTTAAACTTTTTGTAATCTTTTCTTATTAATAAATTTTGAGGCATTATTTTCCTCCTTCCACTGATTAAGGAACACCGATTGGTGTTCCGTTAATCATGAGGGGGGTTTTAACGAGGCCTCCATTTCCTATCAAATAAATAAATAAACATGAACCATAAGGAAATCATGTATACTGGACTAATAAAAAAGTTTTTGGATGTTCCTTGAATCATCTAGACCACAATTTAGAGTTTATATCCACAAAACTAGCTTCATTTCTAATTTGAAATATACCTAATTGATTGTTTAGCAAGACATTTTTTAAGAATTTGGTAAACCAATGAAAATGAAAATTCATTGAAAATTTCATAACACTAAAATTTTCTTCGGCCAAGCCACTACCTACATTTAGAAATCTAAAATAAAAGAATATAAAACTTTAATAAGCTAATCCAAAATCATAAACTACCAACAGAGAGAGAAACAAATAAATAAATATAAGCATCTGATTACAAACTGAATTATGAACTTTAAGTGAACTTAACATACAAATGAAATATAAACATCTGAAATACTAATTCCGAACCAAATATGAAATTGCAATCAATTAATCCAATTGTAAAAAGAAAATTGAAAAAAATGCGACTTACAACGGCAAGTCTTGGGCCGCGAATTCCGAGCTTATTTGTCGATCTCATCGGATCAAGTCCACCGCCTTCGGCGCGCAGCCTCGAGCTCCCTGCGGGCATAAACTTCAACGAGCTCCCAAACCTCATCCCTTCTCTGATAGACCTCCTCCAACTCCTCTCTCCTCCTTGCCTAAACAACATCACCGTGATCGAACTCTGCATCACCATTGATGCCACAGCAAAAGCGAACACGGAGAAAAATATCAAAAAATAAAACAAATAAATGCCTCGAAAAGGGATGTGCAATAATCCTTTCCGGTTAAACCGGGCGCGGTTTCGAACTGAAGGCCGTTCGACAAGAGAATATTGTTTGGTTCGGTCCCGACTGTGACCGGGATTTCTTTTGAGAGGAAACCGATCGCGGATCGAGTAGAGTCCTTGATCGTTGTTATTGTTGCTGTCACTGTTGTTGATGGCGTTATTTTTTCCATTTTCGTTGTCATCGCCGTCTAGTCTCGGAGGAGACGAGTTTCGGCCCATAGGAAGTGAATCCTTCTTTACTTTCCTTTTTCAAGAATGGAGAAATCGAGTTGTTAGAAGTATTTTTAGGGATATATGATTTTTTTTTTCTTTTTTCTTTTTTCCAGGAAGAAACGGTAGTAGAAGTTCACGCTCCAATAATAAAACGCGTCAGACTATTTGTTTTTTCTCTTGATATCGAAAGGTTCAAATATATTATCCCTATTATATTCGAGTACTTAAATAATGTTTCTTAAAAAAAATATTTAAATTTGTTAAATATTTTAATTTAATAAAAATTATTTCAAAATAACATTTTTAAAATCAACAATGAATTCAGATAATTTATTTCGTTACACGTAATAGTAAATTAGATTCAAATAATTGATATATATATATATATGAATATACTGTAAAAATAAAATATATTAAAATAATTCATATTTGAGAGTTAATATCCGTATATTTTCGCGGTTAATTGTGAATTTAACTATAATTTGAATTCATAATATTCTAATTTTTCAAATGAAAATTTATTTTTATAAACATTTGAATTCATATTATCAATTGTTATCAATAGACTTTGTTAAACAAATTTAAATTGATACGATGATTTCTCTAGTTATTAAAAGTTTCAAAAATATATATTTAATATTAATTTTATGTATTTTATAATTAGTTTTAAATAAAAATAAAATAAATTTGAATTAAAACTTCATTATTAAAAAATGATAAAATATTATTCCATTTTGTCTATATCTATGTTCGAGTATTGTTGAGCTAGACTTATTCAATCGTTTAAAGTTGAGCTCGATTCGTGAGCTTAAAATTGGCAAGCTCGAGACGAACTCAAAATTAAAAATTGAAGTTCGACTCGAGTTCGAAAAACTTAAACTCAAAATATTCTCAGACTTAGCACGAATGAAACTTGAACTCCCACATGAACAAGTATATGAAAATTTTATATTATATTTTAAAAAAACATATAAGTGTTATTATTATTATTAATTTAATTTAAAAATTAAAAATATAATGTATCAATTTTTGAGTTGTTTGTGAACTTTTTGAATTAAATATTAAATAATTCGTTCGGTTCGTTTAGAACTCCAATAGAGTTCAAGTTCGAGCCAAGTCTATTTAAATCGAGTGTTGACCGAACTTTGACTGAATTAAACTCAAATAATTTATGATATGACTTGTCTCATTTACAATCTTAATTTGACCTATAATTTTTTCAAACGTGAAATACTTTATTGATTCAATTTTTTACATGACTTTTTTTTGGTAAATAAAGAAAAGTGTAGATGCTCGTTTTGTCTGGGGTTCTCGTTCTAGTTGTTATTTTGTTTTTTTTATTCTCTAGTTTTTTTATCGAGTCTTGTATATCTATTAGTTTATTATTGGTATGTGTGTTTAATTACGTATTGACCGTTTTTTTTATTTATATGAGTAGTTATGTTTGTGGTCCTGTAAATATATATATATATATTTATATATATATGCATTATGGGTATATGAATTAATATGCATGATAAATGGACTTACTAAGTCTTTTATTGTTACAGGCCCGAATTGCCAACATATTACAACAATACCCAAACTAATGAAGAGCTCAACAACCCAATTGTAGAGACCCTAAGCCGTTAGGGTTTTCTATCCCAGCTTCCAGCGCCGCAATATGAAGGCCGTTGGATCTGTCATCAGGATCCAACGGCTCACAACGTCCCAAGCATCCCGAGCCAGCGTGCACAGATGCTCCCAGAACTCCAAGACAGTGCGCGAACCAACCGAGTGCTACCCACGTGAAGTCCCTCGGGGCTGTTCCCCATCACCCGTGCCTAGGCAGCTGAAGCCCCGTGACCAGTTCGCACCCGTGACTTGCAAGCACACCAAGCAAGGAGCAGAACGAAAGGCACAGAAAACAGAAAGAAAAATCAACTAGATATAGCAGTGAAAATGAAATCGATGAGGGGGAGATATCATCAACTATCAAGGGAAAATCCACCACTAGAGTCTAAAACCCATTACCAAATCGAGAACCAAAAAAGGATCCCTCAACAGAAAAGCATTCTAATCATCCGTCAGTGATCAAGGGAACCAAAAATAAAACGTGAAATACCTAGAGAGTCATCTAAACAGCCAGAGAGCAAAACGAAAGTAAAATAAACTTACCCTCTCGATCCAGTAGCTTCGTCGCCTTGTCTAGGAATCCATACCTCGTATGTGAGAATGTAAAACCCTCTGTCTCCAATTGATTTCGAGTCGTGCATGTCAGTTTTAGGCCTGTGGCTTCAGGGATTTGAGGGATCTGGTGTTGGGTACGAGCGAAGTGGAATAGAATAGGGGTCTCGAAGTAGTTTGGGGTTAAGTTTTCAGGATGGGGATGGGTTTTAGGTGGTTATCTGTTTAGGTTAGTCACCGGGGCTTCTTCGTCGGAGCCGTTGCTACAGCGGGGGCCGGGGTTTCGCTTAAGCTAAGGTCGAGAGAGAGGGGGAGAGGAAAGAGAGCGGTGGGGGCTCTTCTTGTCTAGGCTGAAGAGAAATGAAATTAGGGTAAAAAATTTACCCTAATATCCCATATATTAAAACGCCAAAACGACGTCGTTTAGATCCCCCCCAAAACGGCAGCGTTCTGATAGCTGAGGGAATCTGTGTTTTGAGATTTTTAGGGAGTAACTGTGTGCGTGGCCATCCCAACTTTGTTTCTTTTCGATTGGTCCTTAAGCTGAATTTTATTGTCATTTTAATTTTGTCCCCTGACTTTCAGTGTATTTCATTTTAGTCCAGTTACATGTTAGGGCTATTTCGTTTTGTTTTTACATTGGATGTGTAATTTTGAAAGCTTTCAATTTGGTCCTATGTAGCACTTTGGTTGTATTGTGTTTGGAGTACCAAGAAATGAAATATTTATGAAAACAGTCTGCTATTTATTGTTTTTATATTTTAGTCCCTTTAATATTTCATGTATGTTTGTTAGGTTAATTTAGAATTATTTTAAGTGTACGCAAGTGGGTATTATTTTGAGCATGTAATCTGTATGAACGTATTTAGGCGTATTTCTTTATAAAGCATGTTGGCCTCATTTACTTTAATCACATGTTTAATTAATTTTTGCATTAACATCACTTTGTATGATTGCATGATAGCCTCACGTGTATAACTCAACTTGATTACATAATCGAATTAAGGGTAATACCCTTTTAATTTAAAACTGTCAGAATAGTTTTTCTTAACTCACAGGGAAGTTTTTCTTGACGGTTTTAAATTACAAGTGTATCCCGTCACTGTCACAAAAAATGGATTCTTCACTTTTAAATTTGGGAGTGAAAGATAAAGAAATGTTCGGCTATTTAAATTTGTTGAGAAAAGGTCATTAGAACTGACCTAAAGATCTGGTCTCAATATATTAAATAATCGAACGTTCTTTATCTTTCTAATGGCTTGGTAATTTTAATTTAACTTATTTTGTTGTTTTTGAATGCTATAAAAGTATCATCATTGTTGTTTTAAAGGAATCATTAATCAAATTAAACTCGAACTTGTGAAATTCGTTGTAAAGACATTAATTAATCGACTAGGTACCGATTTAGGGCGTTGTGGGGATGCTAATCCTTCCCTACACGTAACCGACTCCCGAACCCGAATTTTGGTAATGTTGACCGCAAATTTGTCGTTTTAATTAAAATTAATTTTTATTTAAAATGACAACGTTTTTTGGGTGCCCAATCACACCCTAATCAAAGATTGGTGGCGACTCCTCTAACCATATGTTTTTATCGTAAATGGATTTCCAAATTTTTTGAAACGAGAGGTTTTTTTAAATCGCATTATTTTTAATTAAAAATTAACCATAAAGAAAATAATTAAAAGTGACGCGGTTTTCCAAAATCTCGCACGCCCACACTGGTTTAAAAATCGTTTCGACAGCTTGGCGACTCCGCTGGGGACTTTTTTAGAGAGTCAGGCCGATCGTCGATTAATTAATTGTCTTTGCAAACGAAATTTTTAAGTTCGCTTTAATTTGGTCTTTGATCCCTTGTTTGTTTGAATTGTTTTATTTACATCTTAATTTGTAATTTGGTTAATGAATAAATAGTTGTACTAATGTGTGTTCTACATGTTTCAGTTTTCTGACCTTCATTTTAGTCTATTGTTTTTCTTGGATCGAGGCAAAGGATTATGAGTTTCCCCACTATTGCTGTAAACCTTTAATATTTAGAGCCTTCTAACTGTGCTCTGTCCCGTTAGGTAGGGGTGAAAGCTACGCTTACGTGAGAAAAAATATTTTTCTCCGCATAGGCTTTAGCTAGTAACCTCTGGGGTACATGTCTTATGTCTACGAGAAAACATTGAGTTTCCTCGCATGGATATAGGGAAACGTATCCTCTCGAATTGAACTTGATTTGTTTTAAGCCTATAATGGGTGAGAATCGAGGGTTTGGCAACCCAAAGGGGCACCAGCAAAGGATAATTCGAGGACCCTTTTTAGTGATACCAAAACTCCGCCCATCTTGTGCTGAATCTATGTCCATAGACACAAAGGGGAAACTCATTCTAACCGTTCCCTCGGATTTATTTTTGCAATAAGTATGAGAACTAGAAAAGCATGCGGTTAGGTTTCATATTTTCATACAAAGCATATGAATTAGATACCATGCGGTTAGGATTTTTTTTATGAACAACAAAGCATATGGGTAGATATCATTGCTGGATAGGATATATTAAAGCATGATTGGGTAGTCAGCATGTGAGGGTAGGTTTTATTTGATGTTTACGGTGCCCATTATCTTGTTGTTTATCTTATGTGCACTAACCCGTTTTTGTTTTATGTCTATTTTATTGTGATTTTATTGCATTTGCATCCTCATGTCATCGAGGGGTGTTAATTCGCAAGTGATTGACTAACAAGAAGGCTGACCATATTGAGGCAAGAAATTCTCCACCATGTAGTCAAAACCGGGAGATCCAGAGATGTTCAAACGATCCATGAAGAATGACACCCGATGAATAAAGAAATCCGAAGCTGATTGAAGAAAAGGTGTAAAGGCCAAGATGTTGACTCAGAAGATATA